AGAAAATCCAAGCCGGAGCACCGGAATCGACGATTGCCTGTAACGTCATTGGTAGAAATATCGAACTCGCGAGATAGCTCACGGCCAAACAAATCTTAGCCGAAGCTAATTCAACTTTTCCCGGGGCAAATTGCCGACATGTAGGTACGAATCCAGTTTCCGTTCTAGTATGCATCTAAAAATTGCCGCGAGTCGTATGCCATCGAACGAAATCGTTCGAGGCATGTTATTCGGTCGCACGCAGGAATCAAATATTCGCAACCGCGGCTGTAAATATTTTCGCGCGGAACACGCTTTATTTATTTATTTTTTCATCGAGACTTTACAAAACGCAATTTCGTTCTCGATCATCCGTGGCGATAGCATCCAACGAACAAACGCCGCTATCTCTGACCTCTGTAAAACACCAAAAAATTGTTCTTAAATGTTTATTGGAAAAATAAAAGTTTTTTGTGGAGATTTCTAAAAAATAATAACGGCAGATTTCAAAAGTCGCATATCCTCAACTATTATGATTATAACTACTGAAAAGGAAAAAAAGTGACTCCTTCGATTTATTTTAACATAAATTTAATGCGTATTTTTATTATCAACGCACTTAAAGTGGAAAGTTAGAAATCTAGAAACTTTCGTCAAAGAAAAAATTAATTCCAAATTTATCAAAGCTTGTCTATGACTTCTGCGAAATGAGACTTGCGGTAGATACTATCTGTGTACACAGGCAAATTGAAGTAAGTAAAGTTAAGCACCCTAAGGTAATTTAATTTGTTTCTTTCGAATATTCCTCGATACTTTCTATCTTCTTCTCTTATTCTTTCTGTGAAACATTGAAGTGCTCTAGCAAAACTTGCAACTGCGACTTGATATTAATCTTGTTAGATATTTCTCATAATAACGAGCCAAGGCCAGCTGTCTAATTAGACGAGTTTACATGGCGATGTCCGTAGGGTGAAATTCGTAAATTTCACAACACATGTGGCGCAAACAATATTCTTTCGCGTGCGTGAATCAGTGAGAAACAGAGACCGCAATCGGAATACCTAGAGCGAATGTATTACGAGTATTCAATGTTCTCGCGCTGTGACATCATTTGGGACGAAACGCATCCTGCACCAAAAGTCACTATCTCCATTCGACGCTCTCGTTATGTATCTACTGTGACATGCGATAACAGAACTGGAGATAGCGAGCCTTTGAAAAACAACGAACTTGACGCGTTTCGCTCAGTATTTTCGATTCATTCGGTTGCTGACAGTCTCTATTTGGAATCTTAGTGATATGCACAATTTCTAATAATTCTTATTATTTAGAAATATTTTAGCTTGATTTAGTTTGACATTCTTTTTTATTGATATCTCATGAATATGTCCATATAACGTTAATACGTTTTATTAGAATTCTTATGTTCTAAATATATATGTTTAAATAAATTAAATATTCTTTATTCTTCGATTCACGTGATGTGATCTTATTCGGTCGATATCTCTAAACGTTTTATATAGAGCATTGTCTTATATGTTGTGCTACTATAATCATGGATTCCCCGGCATCGAATGGTCGCACATATCAAGATGGAATTATTAGTCGACGGGATATATACCGTGCACAAGTTCGAGATATCTATCGGCGGCGTCTGAACGGTTCGACGACGAAATCAGGGATCACGGGAGGATGGGCGAGGGTTTCTGGGGTTTCGGAGAGTTCCTATTGAGGAAAGTTTTAATGGCGCTTCATTAAGCAAAATAGTTTCATACGTACGATCGTGCGCGACGCGACGCGCCGGTATTCGGCGGGGGGAGGGAGAGAGAGTGAATTTGAACGCGACAGGAAACGGAGGACCGAGAGAATGGCGTGCGGCTTGCGTTTGCTAATCCGACGGCTCGCGACCTCGAATTGTTTCCGGCTGCACAACCAGGGCGTTTACTCGCGACAATAATCGTCGTCATTCGACACGAAACGCCAGAGGAAACGTGCGCGATAGCGTGAGAGCAAAAAGCTAGAGGCGGATTAATTCAGCGCTCTCGACGCAATGCTTCCGGATATTCCGCCCTCGCTGCTCGGACGCGAAGACCCGAACGCGCGAGCGCCGACCCTTTCGCGGTTGCAAAATCCAAGTTTTGTCCGAGCGACGGAGCAGATGGGACGAGACGCAATTCCCAAGTCTTCTGGCACATTTCCATTAAATGAGAAATTCCCTCATGCACCGTCATTCGCGCGATATTGAAAGCACGGATCAAACACAGTGGGAAAGTACGATAGACACGTTAGATCAACTGTATCGTGATTTTTATTAAAGCCTAAATCGCCATTCTGATCACTCGACTCTGAGCATTGTGACAAATAAACACGACGCCAAATGACACTGTCGGATTTTGAGTTACTAGAGAATGGCGGAGATGGGCGTAAATGGGACGCTGGAGGTTTGCCGCATTGGCTTGAAAAAAGCCTGTGTCCAATATCAAGCATATTTAGTTTCTGTCATTCTTGCCACGTTGATAGGCTCGAATGCTTGACAAATGAACGTCAGGCATGACGGAGACAAACTGGAAATAGGTTTGCCGCAACTAATATCTCTTTTTTTTCACGCGAGAGGCTTGTATTGATGCAGTTTTGCGAACGCCGGGTGACACGCGATTACCATTCCCTCTACAAAGTTACGTTACGCTTAAGCACGAGGCGTCACGCGCGGCCGGGACACTTAACGACCGGTAATCAGGATCTAGGAAAGAACATCACCTTCTTGCTCCTCGCGCCCGTCCTCGCCCCGCCCGATCGCCTATTTTCCCCGGCGCGGCTTCTCTCGCTTTTTATAATTCTTTGCGAAACATTTTTTTTTCCCCACCCTTTTCATCTCCCTCAACAGCTCTCCACCCGCTCTCCCCCTTCCTCATTCTCAACGCCCATCCCGTCGTCGTTTGCATAAAGTGAGCTATCCGCGCTTTTAATATACGCAAATGAAGTTACGCGCCGGAACTAATCATATTTGCATGCGGAACAGCAATCTCCTTTGAGCCCTTGTCATACTTATTACTCCAGTTTAGTCACTAGAGAAAATTTTATGACGAACAGCGCCGGCTTGTAGCCGGCGCGAGGATCATCAGCGATTGATCGTCTTCGCCCGGATCTTTCCGGATGGAATATGCATCCTCTTCTCAGCTTGGTGCGCTTAGCGCTTGAATATTCTCGCTTCGTCACGTTAAGCTACTTATCGGAAATTATCGAGAAATAATTATTGATAATGACGCTGCAATTGGAACATATCGCTCACATTTATTTGTGTTAACATAAAACAAGAATATCACAAGTTGCTCGTTTGAGCGTTGCTCGAATAAAAAGAATCAAATAATAATTTTTTTTCAAATGATCTTTAAGTAATCATGTCTTCCTTTAACTGTGGAATTTTCATTTCATTTTGCAGGTCTCATAATTCCTACAAATCGTCGTCTTCGAAACTTTATTCGATTAGAAAGTTACGTTGTAATACAGACTCGTTCATTAAGGATTAAAGGTACAGTCAGCCGTTTCGGATGCAATATGACAATGTAAGGCAAACGCCATCGTAGCCGACAGGTTTGCGAAACACTCCTCGAGGAAGTCCGCAACTATGGGAGAGACGGTAGATGGTGGTATTCTTGTCGGTATTCTCATCGAAACTTCCGGGAGCGCGACGTTTGTCGTTCCTCCGCAATCGCGTTTAATTAATTATCGATCGATCCACCGTGGGCGTTCAATCGCGAATACGTCCCGTCGACTGACAATGCAAACGGAGCCGAGCGGGCGGTATTATATGACTGTAATCGAAAGACGTAGCTCAATAATCTGATTTATCGATCCGGCGTCAATTTGATGGCACTGCGCTGGCCTATTCAACAAATTAAAATCGAAATTCTGTTGAACGTAGTTTCCGTAAACTCCAAGGTATCTTCCAGAGAAATGTAACCATACCTTAAAAACTAATTGGATTTGCGTTAAATGCAAATTTAATATTTTAAATAACAAATTAATTATATGATCCTTGCGCGCGCGCGCGCGCGCGCGCGCGCACGCACGCACGCACACACACACACACACACACACACACACACACACACACACACACACACACACACACACA